CCCCCCCCCCCCCCCCCATCCTCCTCTCCTTTTCTGACTGCTATGTAGGGGCTTGCATGGTTTGTATCTGTCTGGAGTTCGAATGTTGGACTTGTTCACTTTAAGGGCTGGAATTTCTGCTTCTTAAAGGAGAACTATGGGGGTCAGGGGTTTTCCCCTTCTACTGAGCCGACCTGTGACAGTCTCATTGTCACAGGTCGGCTAGAACTAGGAGGTGAGTGAAAAACACCCCCCTCATAGTTCTCCCTTTAAAGGAGTCTTAAAACATCTGGAAGGTTGTTGTATTCTGCTTGTGGTTTCTGAGTGTTCTGGTGAAAGGATACGTGGTGGACAATATATAAACGTATACAGTGCTTTTAATACAGCCTGACGCAGGATTCAAACCTTTGCATTGGGTTATCTGTAAAAAATTAGTCAAGGCAACTGGACTTGCTGTATTTTTTTTCTTGAAAACATTTCACTGGACATCCGACCAGCTTTCTCGATTCAGAATGACTTGTACAAAAAATGATCTGGAAATACATATGGTGAATGTTGCTCCAATCCACATCATCTGTTTATCATAACCAGCTTGGGGCCAGATGAGGTACGGTGTTGATGCATTTGCATGATTGGAGCTAGCAGGTGTGATTAAGCTTCCCTTTAACACCTGCTAGCACTGAATTGAGAAAGCTAGTCCAGTGACCGCTGAAACGTCTTCAAGAAAAATTCTGCAAGTCCAGTTGCCTTGATTTCATTTTTATACAGATATACCATGACCGGGATGAATGAGCACCTTCACAGACATACCACATAGGGAGCTTGAGAGCCCCCTGCCTAGCAATAAAGTGAAGAGGAAAAAAGTTAAATGTGTTTAAAAAATAAAATGGGTGTACCCCTCATCTCAGCATAGCAGGGAAGCAGATTATTCTGTTTTGCACCTAGTGCTAAATGTGCACCCAGAACGGCTGGCTGGCTAACAGCGCACACAGTCTAATATCAGAGCCATGGCTGTTTCAGACTTGTCGACCATCATCAGTGTAGTGCAGGGGTAGCCAAACTCCGGCCCTCCAGCTGTGGTGAAACTACAAATCCCATGATTCATCTCTCTCCGGGAGTCATGTCTGTGGCTCTAAGAATCTTGCAATGCCTCATGGGATTTGTAGTTCCACCACAGCCGGAGGGCCCAGAGTTTGGCTACCCCTGGTGTAGTGCTTGAAAAGATTAGTCTGATGGTAGCCTATGGGTGAGTTCAGTTATGCCTCATACATGTGCCTTATTTTTTGTTTTCGCAGGTCCCCGTGCAGTCTTGGTTTGATGACATGTCGGATACGGAATTGCTCGATTTATTACCCTTCTTCGAAGGGCTAAGCAAAGAAGAGAACGTTTACAACATGCTGCATAAACTTTGCACCAGGTAGCCCCAACGGCGCCCTCCAGTGGTCGGCTGTGATCTGCAGCGGCTGCAGACTAAAACCTCGTCTACATATCCTTCTCCTTTTTTGCTTCGAGCAGTTGACCTGTTTTCGAGGCCGCTTATTCTTTCTCCTACAGAATGAAGTGCCTTTTCAAGTGTTTGATTTTAAAGAAGATAAAAGAACAAAAAAAAGAAACATTTTCTACTCAACGAAAACTTTACATATCTCTCACCTTTCTACCGTCTAACGAAAAACAGCAAACACGACTTTATAAAGTACTGACACGACACTCGCTACTAAACATGGATTTCTCCATGCAGGTCGCATGTTGCAACACTATTGTTTTTAAGGGATTTCCCATTTTCCTG